GAATAAATCCTGTGATATTGTGCATGTTCAGAGCTAATAACTGGATTTTTCACCCACATTAATAAGGTTGTGCACTGGGAGATGCTCCACTGTTTTCCTGGCTGTGTACCTTTATCCTTCTCCTTGTTTGCAGGCTCCCTGACAGATGGAACCAAGTTTGACTCATCTCGTGATAGGGACAAGCCTTTCAGATTCAAGATCGGGAAGCAGGAAGTCATTCGAGGCTGGGAAGAAGGTGTAGTGCAGGTAGGCTGGAGAACTGGAAGCATGCTGAACATATAACATATGCATTTAATTCATTATTCTGATGAAATACTAGCTTGTCTCCAGTCACTAGTTGGAAGCAGAAACCGTTTTAACTGCATAAAAGTGCATTTTGCTGCTTATATTGTTGCTGCTGAAATACATACATACATTTATTGACATGGTTCCATTGTTGAATTTTCACTCTCCATTATTTCCATTACCTTTACAAACACTGGCTGAGTACAGCATGGCCACAGCTCTACATCTCACACACTTAGCCCTGCAGTATTTTAAAAAAGTGACTGTTGAATGGTGCTTCATATCTATTGATCCTGTAAGGTCATGACAGTGTACTGTAGCTTCATGTCCTCTGTTACAGTCTGTGGGTTAAATCATCCCTCTATCATATCTCAGTAAGGCATCTCTTTAAAAAGCTTTTAATCGCATCATTAGCAAGTGTTTTCACCATCACTTTCATTGTTCCTTCACGTTTGCTAACTGACTTTAGACAGCATTAAATTGTATCTTCTAGGGCAGACTAGCTGCTCACTGACATGTTTGCTCTTTCTCTCTTCTCTGATTGTGTTATTCGCCTCCTCCTACTTCCAGATGAGTGTTGGACAAAGGGCTAAGCTAACCTGCTCGCCTGACTATGCTTATGGAAACAAAGGCCACCCGGGCATCATCCCTCCTAACGCCACCCTAATCTTTGACGTTGAGCTGCTGGGGTTGGAATGAAAAAAATGCGCAGCCTGTTTTTGTGTTGTGTAAGTAATCTGCTGGCTACTGTTGATTTTGCAAGTTTTAGCTGCAAATGACATTCTTCTTAAGGCCCGGCCTCACCAGAAAGTGACACAGCAAAAGCCATCAGTCTGAAATAGGTGGTGACATACTCACAGAGCTAGCTGGTGAACTTCTGTACTGCTAACAATGGACAATAGGTTTGCGCAGTTTAATCTGGTTGTCAATCCTCGTTCGACCTGGCAATCATCCACCATGATGAAGGCCATCACAAAGCTCTTATTCTTGCTCTGAGGCCTGAGGAGCGAGGAGGCTGCCTAGAGGAGTTATAACTGAGGATACCCGAGTGTATCCTTCATGGAAGTCTGTTACGTGTTGACTCGTCCCTTTGTCGGGATGTCAATTTGTGGTTAGATGCTTCACATGAAGGATTGGAGGAAAGGATGTCTCTTATTAGTTAAAACGCGTTTTCTCACAGTTTCTTCTTGGCTGTTTTCCTTGCATCTTACATGGGCAGGACTAAGATGCAAGGAAAAGACGCAAGTGAGGGAAACATAGATACAATTAGAGGAACTGGGATTCACCTTCTGTCTCTCTCCCTCTCCACTTCACATCAGCTGACTGTGGGTGGTTCACTGTATTAATCAGTCAGTTTCTGCCACGGCCTAGGCGAGCTTCTCTTACCCGTCAAATTTTAAAACTGTCCTTCTTCTTGCTGTCAGTTGTCATTTCATTGTTGCCGGTTGTAATCCTTCCCCACCCTATTCACTTCCCATTCATCAGATCAGTGTTCCAAGGGTTCAGCATCAGACTTCATCAGGCTTCATCTTCAACATCACTGCTCATTTCCATTCATGGGTCTTTTCCTATCATCAGGCTCCAGCTCCTCATGAGCATCATGTTGCCATCCATCTCAGGGTTCCTGATTGGCTCATTAGTCTCCTGCCCTCTCTCATCCTCTCCATCCTCATCATTATCCATCTTTGACCTCCACCACCACCAGTGTCTAGACTCCATGGGATTATTCCCTGTTCCATTCAGGAGTGGTCCTCTCACATCATAAGCTGTTTGCACAATGGAATCTATGCACCAAATCCTTTATTTTTTGGTTATGCACTCTAAGGCAATAAAACATTTAAGCACTTCTGAACTGCTTCTTCTGTGTTTCTCCTGATTGAATTGAAATGATCAATAAGTTTTAGACAGGCCTCCAGTGTATCCAAAGCATTGAATAGTGGTTTAATTTGTTTTTTCAACTTTTACTACACAAAGAAATTTCAACTTGGAGACACTTGTTTAGACTGATGATCCATGACAGTGAATGTTTTATACGCCTGTTTTTCAACCAGGTGTGTCCTTGGTTGTGCATTGAATGAAAGCTCTGACAACTGACATCTGGAAGTAAGCTGTGTAAATGCATTCTATTCATTAGCTGTATTGTAAGCAAATAGATGTGGACAAAGGCAATATGAAGGTGTGAGTTCAGAGGTTTCTAGCATTATAAAAGATACTCTTGGTGACTGAAACCTCAGATGTTAGGGCCGCCATGACTTGTTTATTATGTTGATTGCTTTTTTCAGTCTGTCCTAGATAATTTAAAGTGTTTAATGAAATAAATGGCGGCCGGTAACTGCTCGGAAGGTGTGTTGTGCTTTGCATGATAGAATCACAACTACTCTTTTATTAACGTTTTGACGAGTGTACGTTTTCCTCAGATTAATACCTTGGGTTTATCTTTTACAAATAGTATGGAACTAAACTTGTTTCTAAGCAAAGAAAGCAGATACAGTAGGTGTACACATCCAACCCCAGCAACATACAGGCGCAGGGCAAAGGCAACATACTAAAGAAAAAAGGCTTTGACAGTCAGGACACTGCAAGCTCCCAAAAAATATAATGTTGCAGCATGAACATTGAAATTAAATGGGATGCATGTGTTTAAATCTTTTGTGGGTTTTTTTTCCTTTTCTTTAGCACAGCCCATCATAGGTTGACAGTGTTTACATAAATCAGACCAAATGGATTTATGTTATGGTACAGAAAAATTGGCTCCTGCACATGTGGGGTTCTTTGGCTACAGCCTACAGTCTAGGTCAGCCTCTGCATTTATTCTGCACAGTAAGCAAAACTGCTTCTGCTGATGTTCTCATTGTAATATGTTTATAATATAATTTATTTTCTTATAATTTCTGCATTTGCCTGGAGCTGAACAAACTTAATTGTTTTTAGTTGTTAGTTGTACAGTCCAGTCATTGGACATTGTCCTTTAACTGCGTGCTAAGGCCACATCGTTGCCAGTGGTAACTACCAGACAAAAGAGTGTTTTTGGTACCAGCTATTTTCTTTCAGTCTTGGGAAAGGGAACCAGTGGATCAAAATCAGATTAGTGCATTAAGTGGTGATTTAGTAGCTATATGACTGAACCCTGACATGAGCACATGCTTTTGTTTGTGCGTCTTCCTCAATTTTCCTTCTGTTGTCTTCACAGGTGACTTCCTACCTGGGTGACCTGGAGAGAAGATAGGAAGGTCTGCACTTGATTCTATAAAGAGGCTTGAGTCTATAGTTCCACTGCTTATTTCATCCAGCTATGACAGTTTGTTTGTGACTGAGTTAATTATATTTTTCCATCACATCCTTCTTCCTAAACAGTATGACCTTACAAACCTGTGTTCTTAATCTTGAATTAGTTTTAAAATTGTGCTTTCCTTTGTCTTTTTTTTTGAAGTGTTGGTTGTGCATGGTTACCCTGAGAAGTGCAAGATATCAATGAACCATTCAGTGACAGTCATCTCTGAGGAGTCATGTGTACCACTATTATATTGTTTGAAAGCTGGTGCTTCATATATCATAGAAACAAACGTACAAAGAGAAAATGAAAAGCACACATTTGCATCATATCCAGCTTAAAATCAGAAAAAGAAATGTTTGTGTTAGAGAGTTAAGGCTTCAAGTATGATTTTGAGACTACCTGTAGTGAGATGTCAAGACATGGGAGGCCTTAATGGTGCAGCACAGGAAGTGAGTTTGCTACATTTCTCTATAGTACCACAGCATTTTCCTTTTCATTGAGATTGTTAACAGAAGTGGGAGCTCTGGAGGGGTAACTGGTGCAATGGAGAATCATTCAGTTGTAGATATGGTATCTTTAATGTGTGCCTAAATATTATCAACAGACAGATGGTTACTACCGGTCTGCATGTTCTAGGCCCGATGGAACTGAGTGCATACACTTTGAAAGCTTTGCATCCGATTAGCGTTAATGTTGCCTTCTCATCTGCCAAATCTTTAAACCCCATTTAAAGCCATACACAGGTAGAACAGTGCAAAGGTGGGATTGGCTGTGACGAATATCATTGGAGTTTATTTATTGCTTAGAAAAAGGGAAATCCTTGAAATGAACAAAAAGGGGGTGGAGGAATCAAACTGTGACCTCCCCCAACCTTATTTTGTGTAACAGCCTGTATTTTTCTGATGCCAGCTTTCTATCTCTAAGAATTAACAAAGCCGATGTATTATCAATGATGTTAGATAATGTTTTTCTTTTTGCTGCTGTTTTTTTTTTTTTTTTTTTTGCCTAACTGAAGTCTGTTGTGGCAGAAGAGAAATGCTGACACATCCTAGTGGTTTTGTATCTCAAATAAATAGTTTTAAATGGAGTTTAAATGAGGAATTCACTGGTCTGGCTGTCAGATATTGACCTTGTGTGTCGATGTTACATATTAGCCAATCTGCAAACTGGTGTGGCAGCAGTCCTCCTCTGTACTGTGTAGTTATGTGTAGATACGTTACTGTATGCAGGCTAAACCGATGATGACATATTTAAAATAAATAAAGTGCTTTCCAGCAGCCTGTGGAGGTGTTTTCTCACTACTGCCATAGTAGTACATATTTTATTTTATTAAGATCTTATCTTTTACATGAATGAAGCAGTGATGGTGTGATTCTTTGTGCTGAATTTTTAAATGCTACTTTTAAGTTGATATAAATAGCTATATGTGGAATTATTGTTAGAGTTTAGCTTTAAAACAGTCAGAAAAAATTATTAGGTGCTCTTCCTACTTTGATTTAAAGCATATATATTGTAAACAGTAAAAATGTATGTATCTGACAGGTATAGTTAGCAGTTACATTGCAGATTAAGGGAGGCAGACAGGAAATGAGTGGAGGTACAGTAGGTTTCAGATGCAGTCTGAGCTGGAATCGAAGGGGGGACATGCAGTGTGCACCTTGACTGTCCAGCTATCAGAATGACCCCATAGATAAAGATTTTACATTAAAAAATTAACTCATTAACATAGAAAGTAGCTGAAATTATTGTAGCTGCTTATGATTGACTCCATTAAAATACTGCTCACATATCAGTGCATCTGTATTTAATACTACACAATGTTCACTTTTATTTTTGACACTTAAATATATTTTGCTTAACATGTTGAATGCAAGACTTTTGCTTGTAATGGACTGTGTTTTGTGTGTCTTTGCACACAAAATGACATCTTTTTGATGATTCTGCATATCTTTGTGCAATTTTTGTCCCTCTAGTTGTTGTGAGTCTTTGTGGACTTTTTGTCTCTCTTTGCAATCACCTTGTGTCCATTTGTTATTGCTTTGCGTCTTTGTTGAAATTGTCTCTTTGTGTTTTTTTTAAGTCATTTGAATGACTTTCAGAACTAAAATGCTAACTCATTACTAACAGAGGCTCTATGTCAGGAGCCCCCTAAAACTGTGGGCCCCTGGGACAGTGCCCAATAATAGGTCTCTTCAGCAACCTGGCCATGGTCTTGTCACATAGCCTAGTTTTGGCCTGGTCAACCCCTATCTGTATCTAACACCTGCAGAGAGCAACGAGGAAGCAAAACAAAGCACAAGACAAAGACTAGTGTTTTGTATAGGTAAATTAAGTCCACTAGGTTATGGTGGTTATAATAAGGGCTGTTTGTTTATGCTGAGTCAGTCTCCTGATAGCTCAAGGACCTCACAGTGCCATATTTTCCTAACAGAGCACTTCACTCTCACAGCCTTTAGCTATCAAGCTCCTCTCCTGTGGAACCAGCTCCTAGTCTCACTTTGGGAGGCAGACACCCACTCTACTTTTATGATTAGACTGGAAATCTTCCTTTATGATAAAGCTTATAATTAGGGCTGGCTCAGGTGACCTCAAGCCTTCCCTACAGGCATAGACTGCTGGGGGTGCTCCCATGATGCTTTGAGCTCCTCTTTCTCTCCCTGCACCTTTCTGCAGGTATCCCTGGCTCTGGAGCTGTACGTTTCTGATAAGCAGTCACTGGTCACATCAACCTGCCCAGCATTTGATTGATTGTTGTTTTGTTTACTGTATCTTGTTGCTTTTCTTTTCTTTTTTCTGTCCTCTATCCACTCACCCCAACCGCTCGAGGCAGAGGTCCTCCAACAGACCCTGGTTCTGTTGGAGGTTTCTTACATTAAAGGGAATTTTTTACTGTGCCAGATTTCTACTGGAATTTTCTTTCTCCAGACAGGCCTAAAATTTGTTAGCCTCGTTCCACGGTGCAATCTAACATTACTGTGTGGGAGACAGTCCTGGAAGAGCCTACAGAAAGTCTGTGCACTGCTGATGTTAGTTACAGCTAACATTAGCTAGCTACCATGAGCACTTGCTGCAGCAGACCTCCGCCACACCAGCATAATGTTAGTTAAAAGTGAGCTTTAATGCAGCTCAGTTCTGTGAGTAAAGACACCAGCAAAGACAAACGCACAGCAGTTTGAGAGCTCCAGCTGAATTTAGGGAAGCCGCTGCAGTAACTACGCGTCTGTGCTCAGCAGACAGAAGCCTCCGTGTGGTCAGCGGCTCTACATCATATTGTGCTCTTGTTGTATCTTTATTGTGCTTCTTTCACTTGCTACTCTAAAGTGCCTTAGATTTGTGTAACTGCCTATTTAGATTTGTGTTATTGCTTATCTGCTTTATATTTCACTTGTATTGTGTGGCATTCATGTGGACGGCAAAGTAAGAATTTCATTGTACAGGGAAACACGTGTCCTAACTTTGCATATGACAAATAAATACTTTGACCTTGACCTTTGAACTCTCCTCATGGATCTTGATGAGTATGAAAATCACACTCTCCTTAGCCCCACCACTCAAACCACCTCCCTTCCATGCCAAAACAGTGACAAAGAAGTGAAAATGAAAGAAAAAGCTTTATCAATGAGAAACACTGACATGGACAAAACTTCACGAGATTGTCACTGAAGAAAAAAAAAACACTGAAAACATTTGGCATTGAAAAAGACTTATGTTAGCATATAGCAGAAGACTGCCATTCTTCCAGCATCAATGCTTTCTTATTGCCAGTCTGTTTTTTAGCAATACAATGCTTAATTGCCCATGTTTGCTTTTTTAGTTATGTTTTTGTTTTCAATGCAAACCTTTATTTTTCAGTGCCAAAGTCAGCTGTCATCATTCAAAGTCATCATTCTGCCATTATAGTTTTTCCTCCCACTGTATTTTACTATTACTTTTTTACTATTTAGTGTTATGTAAAGTGCCCTAATTTGATTTTTGTCGTGATATGGTGCTATACAAATAAAACTGAATTGAACTAAACTGAATTGCATGTGATCGATACGGGGCGTGGCCTACAACGTCATCAATGATTGACGTGGCTTGGAGAACCAGGAAACTAGCAGTGACATCACTTTCCAGAATTTCCCCTCCAGTAGAGTCTCGGCGACGAAGAGCGAAAGACTGAAGTAAAGGAGTGTGTCGTATTTCTGAGATTCCCGGGTGTTTAATCTGATAATATAACCAAGACTTTAAAGGTAAGATAGTCGCTACCAGACTGTTGTTCCGTTTTACCATCCCTAGTGGTACCCGTTACATTCAGGTTTCGTTTACCTAACATGCTAACGTTACGGCTAGCTGTTTGCTTCCTTGCTGTTTGTGTTGGAACAAAGACGGTCTGGTTAGGAGCTCAGCTAGTTTTGTCTGCTTTCCTATTTCCTTCAAGTTGTCACGATTTTAACTAGCATTGATTATTTGCTAAACTGTACAAGGTTTGGCTTTTTAAACGAGCTGTCAGTCGCTGGTTACATTAATGCCTGTGCAGTGAGGTTACGTTAGCAAACGTTTTTGTAACATTTCATACCGTAACCTGTTATATTATAGAGACATAATAACAGTGCCCCAGTAAATATAAATGTATACATAACCTTAAAAGTTTGTTTAAATATTAGGATGTCAAGGAATCACCTAACTAACCTATAATGATCAAGGTTGGTTATTGCATAAGAGTGTCTATATTGTGTGAGCTCATATTGCAGGCTATAACGTGTTTATTGAGTACAACAGAAAAGCTGTGGGTCAGGTCAAAGCAGTACAGACCTTGGTTCCTTTTTTAAAACCATTATTATTATCTACCCCCCTCCCCGTCTTTCCCAGCCATGTTAGTAGACTGCAGTAAGCTGCCAAAACAAAACAGACCACATTCTTGTATCGAGCCAGTTCGTTCAGCCTTACTGAAGTTAGCCCTCTCATTCCCTTCCATTTTCCACCAAAGCTTTTATTTTGCTTTCCACAGGCTGAGGAGCAGCGAGCACTACAGCTGAACTGCTGTCAGTAAGAGAATGCACATATGGGATACTTGCCAAGCTTTTTATCATTGTTTCTGTTATAGTGTAGGAATTTTCTCAACATTTCAAAGAACATCACCCTTTGTTTTAACTTCAGTTGTACTCGACGAATAGGTTATGTCATTGAGAGGGCTGGCCAAACACTCATTTTTTCCCCTGGTTTAGTCAAACCTATGGCCTGCTAGTCCGAATGAGGGAGGAATATTAAGAGGGCAAAAACACAGCTGAAAAGTAAACACTAGAAGGTATTAAAATGCCTCCCGGTGTCCACTTACACAATGATGCCCTTGTCTGTGAGCGCTGGGGTTAGCAGAATAGAGTAGTGGCTGGAGTAGCTTGGAGAGCGAGATGTCACAGGAGTGTGATTGTGATCAGAATGATTCACTTCTTTTAGGGTGGTGATGTATTTTTTTAGCCTGCTTGTGTCACAATCAGTGTTTGACCACATATCCTGCAACTGTGTGTACTTGACATACCAATGTGGACTCATATTTGTGGTTATGTTTAATTCTGTAATGAGTTATTTTGACTAATTATTATCTTTTTGTAGAAATTGCATAGAAGCATAATCAATAGTGCTTTTTGTACTTGTTTATTGCTGTGTTTTGCATGTAAGGATTTTGTTTTTGAATAGTATTGTTGGAGGTCGGTTCTCTGTTTGTTTTTTAATCCTCTTTGTTTTCCTGTTCCTTGTTGAGTAAGAGAAGTGTTCACATGCTGCATGATTGTAATGCACAGTTGGAGAAAACGGCTGAGTAGTCAGTTTCTGTAGTTGTCATATTTTTTCATACAAAAGCAAAGGAAAAGAAAGGCAAAAGAAGGACTGGAAAAAACTAAAGTGCAGGCAGTTTGCTTTAGGAGATCATTTTTGCCTTTCATTTTGGGATCATTGATCTGATACACTGGATTAAAGTCAATACTGCCCTTTTCAAGTGTGGTTATGTGCTGGCCAAGGCATGACCAATCGAAATTAGGTTTTTTTTTTCACGCTCATTATTAGATACAGTGTTCCTTTATCAGTTTATTCATTTCCAACTCAGTTTGCCCTCATGAAACCTTATATTAAAACAAGTTCCATGCAGTCATACAGAGTTTTCAAGTTTAAGTTCCACTGTATTTGGCATTTGCACAAATATAGAGTATAAAACATTGGATTTTTTTGCACTGAGTCATTTAAAGAAAAGAGAGAAGGGGTTAACAAGGAGGACAGGAACTGTTGTTCAAAAAAGAAGAACCCCAGAGAACATCCAGGTCATATACTGAGTAAAATAAACTTGTCAAAGAAAGGAAAAAGATGGCTTTGGTATTAAATCGTTACTCAGTATTAGAATATACCCTGAGGTGACACAGAGTTGCTCTTTAGTTGTTGAAGTTTTTTTTTTTTTTTTCCAAGCAAAATTGCAAAGATTTACAGGTCCCAGTTTCTCGAATGTACATTTTATCTAGTCTTCCTAGTCTCTTTTGATAACAAAGAGAATATATTGGGGCTGCACTGTTGGTCAGATTAAACAAAGCATTTAAAGAAATCATCTTGGATTCTTTTCATTTTTTTTTTTTTTTTACACAGTTCTGAAATTTTATCGATCTAACCCTCAAACAATGTTAGTAGGTGAATCTATAAAAATATTAACAGCAGGAGAGAGAGAGAAATGTCGATTGGTGCATTGATATTTTACATTGTTGGTGCCTTAGACCACTAGCACTTTTAATGTTAACACCGCTTCTTGTTCCAAGTCACTACAGACACCAGGGCACTGAGAATGAATTGTATTTACACAGACAGACTCAAACATACTTGTTTATTACCTGTTACTGCATCTGCGCATATTTGATTGTACTCTGTGTATAATCCCATTCAGCTGACTGGTATGTATCATTTCCTCTTCTCACATCAGGCTGCTATGTTATGTGCTTATGTCATTAGCTTCTCATAGCCTAGTTTTAGTTAAAGCTGGACTACAAGTGTGTTCAGATTTTGTCACACATAACCATCTTGGTTTGCAATGAGATGTGTTTTGAGAGCCATCATTAATTTGCTATTGTGCTCTCATAAACTCCACTCAGGGGAAAAACTCTTGTATTATATTTTGTGGCAGTTTGTACTTCACAGTCACCCGATATGTTCAGGTCCCAGCGTTTTTCAATGGAATGTCAACAGAAAGCTCGTCCACAATAACAGCACGGATGTGCAGGTGCGCAATGTAGCTGAGCTTGAGTGTCGATGAATAAAAAAGAAAGATATTAAATGTTCCTTATTTCTTGTGCTTGTTCCGCCTCCGTTGCCTTCTGTCCTCCTCTCATCTGGTCTTATGACCAACTTGTTTGTCATGTACAGCCAAGTTCAAAGTCAACACACGCATTAGCACCTTAAAGTTCACCCAGCATGAGAACAAGATCCGATAAGAAGATGTGGTGCCGGGGTGATGTGAATTCACAAAGTCTTGACACAAATCACAATAAGTGTCCATATTTGTACTTTACATATAACATCTGTTTGTGCACCCTTATGTGTCATTTTGTGCTCTTCTATTTCTGGAGCTTTACTGTCAACACTGAACTGTGTTTCTATGGAAGTTAGATTACCCGGGCATTGGATGGCCTTATCTTAGGTGCTGTTTATTTCCAATTGTTTTGTTTATAAAATAATAATA